CCTTCTCTATTGAATTGAATCATCATTGCAACTTAGTACTTTTTGTGTCATGAACCAGTCAGTTGATGGTTTGGGTGTGCTGTTTCTCCATACTGTTCTCTTCATGATCATTGATGGAAGGATAGGCATTACTAGATAGAGGAAGTCTGGTGGAAATGTTTGTAGTATGTTTGGGGAAAAAAAAGTCTAAGATCAGAGTAATGAACTGCAGGGAAAGGAATGCAATGCTAAGATCTGGGCTGTTCAGGGTCAATTCTGTGTCTGAACCCCTTTATTTCAACTACCACCTTCGAATCAATACGAGATTCATACTTCATTATGTTTAGAATTATATCTGTGGCCGATTCTTTATGGATGTCCTGACCAGAAATATTTTAATATTACACAGCAAATCAAAGCACCAACAATGTTTTATTTAAAAAATATATTTTTTTAAATAGCAGCTGTGTAATTTGATTTGGTCATTTTACTTGAAGGCAATCACTTTGTACAAGTGCTAAACAGAAATTATATTCTCAAATGTACTTTGTGTCAGTTACTATTAAAGTGTTACACTATATAGTTTAATTATTGGTGTTGGATTTAATTAGTTTATAAATAAAAAAGGATTTAAACAGAAAAATGTTATCTGATAGCAATTGGTATCCAATCTCACAAATGGCTTCATATTTCCTAGGACCTCTTTTTAGAACTCCTTTGTAACATTAATTTTGACCCATAGTAGGATATTTCCATTTTACCTGTCATTGTATCTACAAATTGTACTCAATTTTCAAGATGAGTGTAATCAATAAGCTCTGATTAAATTGACACCATGGACTGAATGGACGATGGAGAAGCATGACCTCAATCAGGGCAGAGTGACCTTTCATTCTGGGTTTGGAGTAAACCATCGGTTGTGTTAAAATCCTATAATTCTTTATTCCAGTGTAAAAATACAACTGGAACCTGGAACACTCACTGAGCAAAGGCATTCAATCCCATAGTGGAATAGCTGTTCTGATTCCTTTTATTATCTGGAAATGCAAATTTGTGTCAACAACTGCAACAACTTGCATTTATATAGCACCCTTCACGCGGGGTGCAGTCCTGGAACGCTTGGAAGAAGTTACCCCCACAATCCCTGACGCCTTGAACTCCTCTCCCTCTGGCCTTCAACCCTCACTGACCCCTCTTCTCCTCTCTCCCTCCTCCACAATACCCTCTCCTCCACACTCGATACTCTTGCCCCCATCACTTCCCGCACTGTCTCCTACTCCCGCTCCTCCCCCTGGTACACCACCCACCTCCGCTCACTGAAAAGCCAGGTGCGGGCTGCTGAACGCACCTGTGTCAAATCTGGCCTAACGGTCCACCGACAAATCTGGCTGGACCTCCTCAAAATTTACCGCTCCACTCTAGCCTCGGCCAAGTCGTCCTTCTACTCCAGGATAATCCTGGAGGCGAAGAACAACCCCAGGCTACTGTTTTCCACCACAACCCGACTCCTCCGTCCCCCCCGCCACCCCGCGCAGGTCATCTCCTCCAACCTTCACTGCGAGGAGATGCTGGATTTCCTTGAATCCAAGATCAAGGGAATTCGCTCCGCGGTCACTTCCCCTCCAACATCCACCAACCCACCACCCCCTCCTCCCACACTCCGACTGCTACCCATCCTCCCCTACTCACTTTGTACCCGTTTCCCCACCCTCTGTCACTGAACTCATCCTATCCCTAAAACCAACCACCTGCTCCCTTGACCCCATCCCCACTCCACTCCTTATCTCCCAGCTCCACTTTCTTGCCCCACATATCACTGACATCATCAACCTGTCCCTCTCCTCTGGCTCTGTCCCCATTCCCTTAAAAACTGCCACCATCACGCCCACCCTGAAAAAACCCTCCCTTGATGCGTCGCAGCTATCAAGCTACCGGCCCATCTCCAACCTCCCCTTTCTCTCCAAGGTCTTGGAAAGAGTTGTCGCCTCCCAACTGCGCTCTTTCCTTTCCACCCATTCTCTTTTCGAACCCCTTCAGTCAGGTTTCCGTGCTGCCCATAGCACAGAAACTGCCCTGGTCAAGGTCACCAATGATATCCTGACCATCTGTGACCAGGGCTCCCTCTGCCTCCTCGTCCTCCTCGACCTATCGGCAGCATTCGATACGGTCGACCACGCTATCCTACTCCACCGCTTGTCCTCCCACCTCAACCTTCAAGGCACTGTCCTTGAATGGTTTAGGTCGTACCTTTCTCACCGTCTTCACTTTGTCTCGACGAATGGCTTCTCCACCCCCCGTACTGTCTCATGTGGTGTCCCTCAGGGCTCTGTCCTCGGTCCCCTCCTCTTCACCCTCTATATGCTCCCCCTTGGTGACATCATCCGCAGACATGGAGTTAACTTCCACATGTATGCGGATGACACCCAACTCTACCTTTCCTCCTCTACTCTCAACTCCACGACCACCGATGTCCTGACAGCTGCCTGTCCGACATCGAGTCCTGGACGAGAGACAACTTTCTTCAGCTCAACGTGCGAAAAACCGAGGCCCTCCTGATTGGCTCACGTCAGCGCCTCCGCACCTCAGGCGCTGACACCATCAGCATCCAAGGCTGCACTCTCCACCTCTCAAAGCCAGTCAGGAACCTCGGCGTTTTGTTCGACCCTGAGCTGTCCTTTCTCCCTCACATCCGCACCACAACTGGCACCGCCTTCCATCACCTCCGGAACATCGCCAGACTACGGCACCAACTCACCCCTCACGCTGCTGAAACCCTGGTCCACGCCTTTGTCACCTCAAGGCTGGACTATGGGAACTCTCTCCTCGCCGGCCTTCCCGCCACCTCCCTCCACAAGCTGCAGGTCATTCAGAACTCTGCAGCTCGTGTACTGTCCCGCACCAGGCTTCGGGACCACATCACTCCCACCCTCGCTCGCCTCCACTGGCTCCCCATCCCCCAGAGGATTGATTTCAAGATCCTCATCCTCACCTACAAGGCCATTCACGGCCTTGCTCCCTCCTACCTCTCCAACCTACTATCCCCCTACCTACCTGCCCGTACCCTCCGTTCCTCTGGCTCCGGTCTGCTCCACGTCCCCCGCCCCAATCGCCCTACCATCGGTGGTCGGGCCTTCAGCCTCTCAGCCCCGAGGCTCTGGAACTCTATCCCCCAGTGCCTTCGCCTTGCTTCCTCCCTCTCCTCCTTCAAGGCCGGTCTCAAAACCTTTCTCTTTGACCGAGCCTTCAGCTCCCCTCTCGACTCTCTTCCCCCTTCTCGCTCCCTCTCATCCCTTCCCTCACCCTGACCATTTCCCCCCTCCTCGCTCCCTCCCCTCACCCTGACCATTTCCCCCCTGCTCGGGTCATGACCCAACTGTGCAGCGCCTTGGGACGTCCTCCTGACGTGAAAGGCGCTTTATAAATGGAATCTTGTTGTTGTTGTTGTTCAGCAGTGGCAGAGTCTGACAATGAGCCAGAGGGAGGGTGGAGGTGACCATAAGCACGATCAAAAACAAAGGTGTTAAGGCGGGATTTGAAGGTGGGAGCGAGGGGGCAAGGTGGAGAAATTGAGAGAGAGAGTTTTGGGTCATAGTGGCTGAAGGCATGGCCACCAATGGTGGAATGGAGGGCATGAGGGACAAATATGAGGCTGGAGCAACCGCACGGAGACAGCTGGTGATGGAGTGCGGCGTAAGCAGGTTGGATAGGTAGGGAGGTGCAAGAGAATGAAGTGATTTGAAAATGAGTGAGAGGATCTTGAAATCGATCCGTTCGGTGATTGGGAGCTAGGAAGCCTGGCGAGGACGTATGTGATGGGGGTACGGAGTTTCAGGCAGGTGAGTATCCGGGTGGCGGAGTTTTGAATTAATTGAATTTTGTGTATGGTGGAGCTTGGGAGACCAGCGAAGAGAGCATTGGAATTGTCCAGCCAGGAATTGACGAAGGCGTGGATGAGGGTTTCAGCTGTGTCGGTTGTGAGGTATGGACGGATACAGGCAATGTGGCAGAGGTGGAAAAAAGGAGTCCTGGTCAATGAACGGATGTGTGGTTGAAAGGAAAGCTGGGTATCGAACCTGACTCCTAAGTTGCGCACGGGTTTGAAGAGTATGAGGGAGAGCCCAGGGAGTTTGAGGAATTCAGACCCGCAAGAGAGAAGACGTTGATGGGAGCCAAAGAGTATGGCTTCCCTCTTGCCAACATTCAGCTGCAGGAAATTTGCGTTTTTTTAAGGAAAGGAATGATGACAGCTGTTTTGAATGGGAGTAGTATTGATCCTGAGGAGAAGGGCTGATGTATCTTGTCTGCCAGCAATGGGCAGAGGAGGGGGAGTTGAGCGACCAGTAGCTGGGTGGGGAGGGGGGTCAAGGCAGCTATTTTATGTAGACATTGTCTAGATCAAGTTTCACAAACATATCAGAAATATGGGTGGTGCCATGGTTAAAGTCACTGTTCTTTATACTGTAATTGTGGTTTATGTCAGACATCGGACATTTCTCAGGGTAGTTAAATTAATGGATATCATTTAAAGACAGCAATAGATAGCACAGTGTTCAGGCCTAGGTGAATTTACAGGGGTATATTTTAGCCCTTCAAGATGTTACTGCCATGAAGGGAACTGAATAACCATTACTTAGTTGATAGCAGTCAAGTTTTAGTATTAAATGGATATTCAATAGAATGCTTCAGTTGAATTGGATGAAGTCATTTCATCTCCAGAGTTATGACTTTTTTAATATATCTTCAGTCATGCCATACTTGTAACAAGAGACTAAAAACCTGGTTTTAATATTAGGTGCAGCTTATATGGTCAAAATAGTACTACTTCAAGCTTGAAAAAAAATTAAGAATCAAGGGCCGATGCATTAACTTGAATCTTAACTTCAATATTTTTACTGCTAAGTAAAATGCAACTCATTTGAATAGTGAGTGTCCCTTACTGTAGCATGTTGAATAACAGGAATTGCATACATTTTAGCACAGACAAGTGTTTAAAGATTAAATCTTTTTTTTAAAAAAAACAGGTGTAGATCCCTCTTTTCAGATTGAGACCAGACTTCAGGTTCCCCTACAACCTTCTTCTTCCCCTGCTGCTTTTTCTGCTGCATCCAGACAGCCAAAATCCCGTTCCTCCAACTCCAGGGATGAGCGCTATCGATCAGGTAAGTGAAATAGGAATGTAATGTTTTCTGATCTAGTATTAACCATTGAAGGTGTGTCTGTGTTTGACAAGATACCATTAATCCAGAAATTTCCTGCATATTTTAACAATTGTCGGCTGCAAAAAGAGTACATAAACTAACTCATCAATAAATTAATTTATCAAACAATTTTTTTTAACCTTCACTTTCAGGTCACTTCCCTCTCTTTGGAATTGTCCAGGCCTTTTCTTCCACACTCCTTCCTCTGACCCTGTGTAAGGCCCTAATGTATGGTGTCCTTAGGTTCTTCCCCACTGCCTTTCTTCTGGATAGGATGACCTTGGATATTCCACACAGCAATTGACTAAATTAATAACATAATCTTAAGAAAGTCCCAAAACACATGGGTTTTGCCACAATTAAGGCCAAGAAACGGTCCGTTAAACCTATAATCTGCCAACTCCTAGAACAAAAGTAGTTTTACGTGCTCCTCACAGTTCACTTGGGTCTGAAATGCTGTACATTGTCCAGCGCCCTGGGACGTCCTCCTGATGTGAAAGGCTATACAAATGTAATCTTGTTGTTGTTGTTTCTCTTCCTCTTGATGGTGGAAAAGAGAGATGTGACCAATGAGGGATACCAGTTTAGCACAATCTCTATTGGGTTAATAATAAATAATCCTTGCATGTGATAAAGCTCCTTATCACGTCTTCGAGACGTCTCAAAGTTGAATTGACTTAGAAAGCAGGATGGACCTGGTCCTTTACCTCTCCAAAGCAATGTAACATGAAGGTGAGAACTTAGTTAATTATAGGATTATGCCTTTGTTCCACCATTCAAGGACTCTATGTGCTGTTGTGTTGAACCACTATGCCTTCATTCTAGCAAATGAAATGTCCTTTAAGCCATTTGATTCTATTCTGATGGTAGTTTTCCGATGCATGTTTCATGATATTGCTTCTTGGTCTTCCTATTCTCCACAGATTTGCACACTGAAGCAGTCCAAGCAGCACTTGCCAAATACAAAGAGAGAAAAATGCCGATGCCTTCAAAGAGGCGATCTGTGCTTGTACATTCATCGCTAGATGCGTATACTCCACCAGGTACACAGATTTCAGGATAGCAGACCTGCTATTGTTAAGAAAGTCTTTGTGAATTCTACAGTTAATTCTATCAGTACACTTGATACATTATCTTCCACTGACTGGTAAACTTGCTCTAGATGGAATGGGCTTTCAAGTAGTAGTTCTATTTTGCATTGCTCACCCAAAATAGAGAAGATGTATGTTTGCATTACGTGAGAAGAAGTTACTCTGGTGGAGGAATTGAGAGGGAGAGTAGAAGAAACTGTTTCACACAGATTATCAGAATATGGAATGCTTTGCAATAAATGACTATTCGGGCTGACCCCATAACATTTATAAGGAAATTGGATACATTTTGAGAGGAACAATCTGAACATATATGAATAAAGAGCAAGGAATTTAGTGTAGTTAACTACAGTGGACGGGGTAGTAACCAGTAGATTTGATAGACTCCTATTTCATTTCTAAATTCAGGAATGATGAGAAAAAATCTAATTTGGAATATGTTACAATTACCATGAGTGATGGCCAATCGCAATAGGAGTTCATAAAATGGAATTAATGGGTGATGGAATTCCTCACCTATTTGATGGCTGATACATTAATGGAACTAGCAGAGGCCTGGTTGTAGATTGACTCAGGCAGGCCATCACCAAGTAATGGTATACATCAATCGAAAGAAAAACATTAGAAATGGGTTTTTAAAACTGTTACATCTTCCCTTTTTTATTTTTTCCCTGGGAAAGCAATGCATCCTGGCCAAGAAAATGTATGCATTGTTTCCCTTAGGCCTCCATTAATGATGCTATTGAGCTGACAGGTTGGAGCTGTATAAGAGTACCACGTGTTGATGGACTCTATGTTTTCCTTTTTTTTCTTGTGTAGTATTTGTCCAGTAATTTCTTCAAAAATCATGATTGAAATCAGGAGCTTATTATTGGCATTAACACTTGTCCAAATGCAAGGAATATTATTATCCAACCACAACGCGTCTTGAATTTGATCAGGCACCCGCTTTCTTCTCTCTCACCCACCCCACCCCCACTCCCCGAAAAAAAACCTGAGCAAAGGATTTAGTGTAATTGTACAATCACAGCACGTGGCAGGGATCTGTGTAGACTAATGCTGCATGTAACTCATATTCCCATAAATTTGGGATCTTGGGTATTGCCGTTTCATTTCCTATGGATGCGAAGAAGGAATGATCCTAGAGTTTGTAATGCCCTTCGAACATAATCTGGTTACATTTTGCATACTATATTATATGAGCAGGTATTCACATTTCATTGTTCATTTGGGTGTTTGTGAAGACTCATATATTGTGTGTACATGTGTGTGGAGAGAGATGGCTAACATTGTCTTCCAGTATAATTTATACTATGAGTGCGTCATGTGTATGCTGTAGCTGTGTTTTGTATGATGAGCATGTGTCTTAAGATATATTGTTTTCAAGAGTGAACGATGCAAATGAAACTTGAATGTAATCTAATTACTGATTGGCATGCACATAGCATGACTTTAATTTATACTGTTGATGAAATAGACGCTCCATGTAGTAAAAAGTCTAATATAGCACCAGTTCTGAGCACCCAAAATGTTTCAAATCTCTATACTTCAAAAACAACAATGGAAGCATTCTATAAACTTGTGTTACTGTTTTCTCAATTTTGGTGATGTATCATATTTTATAATCCGACATAGAGTATTCTGACCTATATTGTAAGTAACTGGGACGGGGTAATCGGGAAGATCCGATACATCAAACAAATTACTTTTTGACAGTGAATTGGAAATGGAAAGGTCCACTGAGACTCTATATAATAATGATAACTAGAAAATGTCTGATTTGTTGCCATTTGAAACTCCTCTCAATATGTTTGTCTGATGCATTGTGTTGAAACATACTTTGGACTTGGTCAGAATTGATATGAATACTCTGACTATAAAATATGGACTTCAATGATGCAGTCCTGGGGCTTAAATGTACTGGGTTCCTCCATTCTATAAATTCTGGTTTGAACATGTTTTTTTAAAATGTTACATCTCCTTCCTCTATATATTGTTTTTCCTCTGGGAAAGCAATGCATCCTGGTCAAGAAAATTGATGCTTTTTTCTCTTGTTCCTCCATTAATGATACCATTGAGCTGATGGTTTGGAGTTGCAGAAGAGTACCATGTGATGATGGGCCCCCAATGTTTTCCAGTACATATTTACATTTATATAGAGCCTTTCACGTTGGGAGGACATCCCAAGGCGCTTACAAGGCTGGCTTGGCATCCAAGCGGAGAGTGGGAGCTGAGGGTAGTGAGTAGTTGTGAGCAGATTACATTAGGCTCTCTTATTTTTTTATGAATAATAGTTCCAGCTAGGACTTTGAGGACAAAGTATCTTAATTTACTGCTAATTCAAAATTGCGTATTAGACTCCCTGGCTCTTGCCTACACTACCTTAGGGGACATGGCAAGCTGGAGAACTCAGAAAACTGCAGGTGGGTATCGACAGGTTGGAGGAGTGAGTAGATAAAATGGCAAATGGAATTCAAAGTAAAAAAGTATGAATAAGTGCATTTTGGGGAAAAAGAGCAAGTAAATCACCTCTAAAGGGAAACTTTCCTAACACAGTGAACGAGCAGAAAGACATAGGAATACAGACTACAGGCTTTTAAAAGTAAGAATGCAAGTGGACAGTAACTTTTTTTAATAAAAACTAAATTCTAGGTTTTATTTGGGCACTAAATTACAACACAGTGGATACAATGATAAATTTGTACAAGGAATTGATTTAGCTGCAGATAGAGCATTGTGTAAAATTTTAGACATTTCATTTCAAAAAAGATATAGCAATTGAAAGGATACAGAAGAGAATATCTAGGATTTGAGGATATACTTGTGGGGACGGACTTTAAAAGTTGGGACTGTTTGGGCTGAAACCAACAAGATAATAATAAATCTGATAGAAACTTTCAAAATGATGCATGTTGTACTCATTTAAGAGAGGTACACCATTTTCTTTGAACAAGGAGACAAAATTGAGGATTAATCCCAACATATTTTGATACCTTCACTTCTTGAATCTAGTTAATCACATGAGTTGACATTATCATCATTAACTATATTTGTGTTTCATAGAATTATATAGCACAGAAGGAGGCCATTCAGCCCATCGTGTCTGTGCCGGCTCTTTTAAAAGAACTATCTAAATATTTAATGGAAGTGATCTAGTGGAGAAAAAAATTACCCTGTGGAAAAATGTTTCACTCACTGTGGACTACTTTGCATTCTTCTTCTTTACAGGTCGTAATTTATGAAATTATATACAATTTCCGTACCTAATTCATGGTATAAACTGAGATCTGTAGAAATAAAGATTGAATTCTATTTATCATATCACCTTGCTCATGGGATGCAGTTTGTATCCTGACACCAGTTGTTTCCTGGCTGCACTGGTTCCCAATTACTGAATGGATCTACTACAAGATCCTCTTACTTGTTTTCAAATCCCTTCATGCCCTCCCACCTCCCTACCTATCCAATTTGCTTACCTCCCATGCTTTCACCCCCTCAATCCTTAACCTTCTCCTTCCCCACTTTCAAATCCCGTCTAAAGACTTTCCTTTTGGAATGTGCTTACGGTCACCTCCCACTTCCCTCTCCCCCTGGCTCGGGGTCAGACTCTGCCACTAGCTTCAGGATGCTACCCCGTGTAAAGGGCGCTATATAAATGCAAGTTATTGGTTTTTACACTGCATGGATAGAGGTACTCTTGAGTGTCTATGTTGCAGGGTTTAATAGATTAGATTCTGCACTGTCCTAACATCAGTGTTGTATTGAATACAGACACATCTTCAGCATCGGAAGATGAAGGCTCACTGCGTCGCCAGGGCCGGATCACCTCCACTCCAAAGCAGGGCCATTTGAACGTAGAGCACTGGCTTAACAAGGTTATCCAGAGCTCCTCCACCTCATCCTCTGCATCGTCCACCTCATCCCATGTAGGAGGGAAACCTACTGCTTCACTCGCTGACCTCATGGCGCATACCCATTTAGGTCAGTAAACCTTCATTTTATTTTCTCTGTAGCATGATGGAAAATAAACCTCCTTAGTAAACACTTGACAAATATCCAGGGGTATCGTCTTAATTGTCATAACTGTTCTCAATCACAACTGAAAAATGCAGTGTTTGGGGGAGTGGAAAGTCAAGAAGAGACTGGGGTGCAAGAAAAATTTGCTGTCATAAGACTCAGATGGAATGCATATAATATAGTCTGATGGTGGCTGCTCAAACAAAATTGTTTGATGCAGAAGAAGCATGCTTGGAAAAAGTTAGGGGAGAGAGCATATATATGTTTATCACCTGATCACCAAATCTTAGCACTGGTTTGCAAATTGAAGCTATATTGGGCATGAAACTTCTTTTTCTCACCACTGTAATATCTGCCATTTCCTCTCCCTTGAGTTGCCAAGAAGCTGATTCATATTCCATTACATCCAGGCTTGACTTTGCCAATGTCCTGTTTATTGGACCCACCAACTCTTGCCTACGCACCCTGCACACTATCCAGAACTGCAGCATGTTCTCTCCGCACAAGGCTCTGGAAGCCTATCACCTGCTTGCTCTCTCCGTTCAGCGGGCTCCGGCCTGCTCCATGTCTCCCGCCCGACCCACCCTACCATCGGTGGCTGGGCTTTCAGACTCTCTGCCCCCACGCTCTGGAACTCCATCCCACAGTCCCTTCGCCTCGCTTCCTCCCTTGCCTTCAAGACCGGTCTCAAGACCCTCCTCTTTGATCATGCCTTCAGTCACCCTCCCACCTCTCTGCCTTCCCTCACCCCTATCCCACCCCTCCCCCATGGTCGGGTCCTGACCCCTGACTGTCCAACGCTTTGGGACGTCCTCCCGACGTAAAAGGCGTTCTATAAATGTAATTTTGTTGTTGTTTATTTACTTGGTTCTGCTGCCTCTGTATGCTACAGCAGATCAAATTTAAGATCTTAATTTTCATCCTTAAATTCTCGAATTCTTGCACCACCCGATCTCTATGACCTCCTACAAATCTATCGACCCAGTCACGTCCTTTACTCAGTGAACACTGGCCTGCTTCCTATCTCATTTTTCATCTGCCCCACCGTTGACGGCCAAGTTTTCAGCCATTCGACCCCAATCTCTGGAACTGCATCCTGGATTCCCTCTTACTTGCCCCGTCCCTCCCCACATTCAAAGTCCACCTAACAATTTTCTTCTTTGACTGCGCTTTCAATCATCTTTCCCCTCCCCAGCTCAGGTACCACACCAGAAGTGAAGTATTTTGAAATATCCTCCAGGCGTGAAAGCTGCTGTATAAATGTAAATTGTGTTCATTTTGTCATGCCCTTTGTTTTTCCACACCTCCCAATCTATTCAATTGCTTGATACAGTATTTGTGTTTCTTATTTGTATGTTTAGAAGGTACTTTTGTGCCAGATTTTCAGTATTATTAGTTCAGTAGTTGCTGATGAATTAAATGGCACTCTGTCCCGGGGAATAATTTGTGTTGGCCATCCTACAACATCCCTGTTGCCTACAATAGGTATGGGGAAAATAGTTGAACAACTTTCTACAAGCACTAATCATAATAATAATGCAAGGATTATTATTATTTTAACTAGTAACCAGTTTAGCTTTGATTATCTTCACAATTATCTGCTGTAAATTTTCAAAAATTATAGCGGATGACTTGGCTACCATTCCACATGCTTGTGTAACTCAACTGTGCACCTCGGGGAAGCAAGCAGTGCACATCATAATAATAATAATCCTTGCATTTGATATAGCGCTTTTCATGTCTTCTAGATGTCTCAAAGCGCTTCACAGAATAGACCGTAAAGTGAATTGACTGTATATTTGTGGGCGAAACGCAGCAGCCAATTGTGCACGGCAGTGTCCCACAAACGGTTGTTGATTGAAGTGACCACTTTATTATTGTTTGTTTCTTGAGAGATTATTATCAGGCGTGTGGAATAAGGAAACTTGCCCAAGGTTTCAGCCTGGCGGGATAAAGAAGTGCTCTCTTGCAATTAGCTCGTAGCTGCTTGAAGGGTGAAAAATATCCCGATTCACAGGATCTGTTACCAATGTTCTGTCACCAGAGTATGCAGTGGAATTTCTGCGTGCATTTAACAGTATTTTTAATCTTGGTGGGAGCCTCTCTTGTCTGAGTCTGGGACAAATGTTGACTGCTTCAAAGTAGTGAAAGAAATCCTGTGAGTAAACATAATCATGTTATTTGAAAGGAAATGAATAATTGAGCGACCTTTTTTTCTTTGTTCACTCCCTAAATAACTGTTCCACACTATCTCTCATTGGCCATAATCACTTAAATAATCACTGTAATTACTTATTTCTCACTAAGTTAGGGCCACGCGTCCTGAGGCTGCCGGTCCTGACTTCATGGTCAATGGGGTCGCCAAGTTGCAAGAAAAGGAAAGATTATCCCATAAAATGCAAAATACAGCAGATGTTGGAAATCTGAAACAAAAATAGAAGTCGCTGGGAACACTCAGCAGGTCAGGCAGCATCTATGGAGAAAGGAAAGTGAGTCAACATTTCGGGTCCACAACCCTTCGTCGGACCTGGGGCATATTGGGAGGGAGAGGCTTTTAAGGGCTAACAGAGAAGGGGGAGGCAGGGCAAGGAAGACAAAGGAGAAAATGGGGTTAGAGGACAGGGGATGATGGGTTAAAGAGGTGTTAATGATGCAAAACAAAGGGTGGGGGGCGTTGCAACAAAACAGACAGACCAGAGAGAAAAAAGGTGTGTCTGGAATCCAGATGATGTGGTAATGGTCACAGGGGAGGGGAAGGTGAACTGCTATAGTCTGAAATTGTTGAAATCAATATTGAGGTTAGAGGGTTGTAAGGTTGTAGCAGATAGATGAGGTGCTGTTTCTTGGAACATTGGAACAGCGTAGGAGACCGTGGATAGAGAGGTCAGAGTGCGAGTGGGAGGGAGAGTTGAAGTGGCAAGAAACCGGAAGCTCAGGGTTGTGCTTGCAGATAGAATGGAGATGTTCGCCAAATCGGTCGCCCAATCTGCGTTTCGCCTCTCCAATGTAGAGGAGACCGCATCATGAGCAGCGAATGCAGTAAACTACATTGGTGGTAGTGCATGTAAATCGCTGTTTCACTTGAAATCTGTGTTTGGGCCCTGGACAGTGATATGGGAGTAGATGAAAGGGCAGGTATTGCATCTACCGCGCTGGTGTGGGAAGATGCCGGGGGGAGGATAAGTGTTGGTGGTGATGGAGGAATGAACCAGGGAAATAGGGTGGACACAGTCAAGGGCCCTGCCTACCACAGTGGATGGGAATCCTCGGTCTAGCAAAAAGGAAGACATTTCAGCTGCTCTGGCGTGAAAGGTGGCATCGTCAGAGCAGATGCGGCGGAGGCTGGAGATCTGGGCAAAGGGAATGGGGTGGGAGGAGGTGTAGTCTAGGTAACTGTGGGAGTTGGTGGGCTTGTGAAGATATCTGTTGATAATCTATGCCCCAAGATGGAAATGGTGAAGTCGAGGAAGGGAAGAGTCAGAGATAGATCATGTGAATGTTATGGAGGCATGGAAGGTGGAAGCGAAATTGGTGAATTTTTCCAGCTCACTGCGAGAGCAGGAAGCAGCCGCAACACAGTCGTCAATGTAACTGAGGAACAGGTCAGCGATCGGAACTGAGTAGACCCGGAACAAAGAGTGTTCCAGGTGGCCAACAAATAGGCAGGCGTAGCTGGGACCCATGCAGGTTCCCATAGCGACACCTTTTACTTGGAGGAAGTGGTTGGAGTTGTTCAACGTCAGAACAAGTTCAGCCTGGTAGATGGAGACTAGTTGGGCTGCTGTTTGAGGTGGAAGCAGAGTGTCTACAACCTATCCTTGTGGGGGATGGAGATGTAGAGGGACTGAATATCCATTGTAAATAGGAGACGGTCAGGGCCAGGGAACTGGAAATTGTTGAAATGGCGGAGGACATCAGAAGAGTCATGGATGTAGGTTGGTGGGACCTGGACAAGAGGAGCAAAAATGGAGTCCAGATATGAGGAGATTAGTTCATTGGGGCCTTTACTGAGGGCAGATCGTTCGAGGTCAGAGGGGATAGTGAAGATACTGCAAGGAGTGGGATTGAGGGGAGGGATGGGGTCAGAGGAAGGCAAAGGGGAGGAGGGGTCAGGAGAGGGGTTGGCATCCATGAGTCATTGAAGTTTGTGATCCTTGACATCTAAAAGAAAGAAAAACTGTTTTTTGTGCTGAATGAGACGAAGGATAAAATAGAGTTGAGGATGAGGGCATTTCTGAGATAAAGTGTGCTGTGGCTGCTGAAGGAAAAGGTCGAGAGTATGCATGTGTCAGTGCATGCTGGAGACGGTGGATCTCATGAGGTGGTGAGAGCAGTGATCAGAAGAGCGCTGAATTTCACGGAGGTATCTGTGATCGTGGGTGGATTGAAAGCAAGAAGGGTGGAATTTAAGATGGAATCCATATGAAATTAGTTGCAGCTTAAGACAGTTACTGAGGAAAGAGATATGACTGAAAACGGATTTTAGTGAACACATCATCAAACACAAGGGAAACAGATAGCAAAGAAGGTGAGCAGGGTAAAAGGGAAGAACAAAAGTCAGATCAAAGAGAAGAGCAGAACTTCTTCAAGATAGGCATTCCTAGAAAAGAAGTGGCAATTAAGTATAAACAAAACGCAAAATACTGCAGATGCTGGAAATCTGAAACAAAAACAGAAGTCGCTGGGAACACTCAGTAGGTCAGACAGCATCTAAGGAGAAAGGAAAATGAGTCAACGTTTCGGGTCCACAACCCTTCATCAGAACTGGGGCATGTTGGGAGGGAGAGGCTTTTAAGGGCTAACAAAGATTATCCCATTGCTGCTCCAGCATCTTGTATTTTTTTTTCTCCATTTGCTTTACCAAAGCTTCAATTTAAATTTTCTATTTTTATCTGCTTCCCATTCCATTTGTTTTAATTTTGATTGTGTACAGTTGGTAGCATTCTTACCACTGAGTCCTAAGT